GGAGACTCCTGTGCATTATTCATTCAACTCGGATTTTCCAGTTTTTTGAAGTTCACAGCAACGAGCTCGTGTGTTGTCACCGTAGGTTGTAACAAGCGTCCGTGCATCGGAAAAAAACTTTGAGACCTTAAGACGAATCTACTGCTAAGACCTTGTTGATTTCTGTTGCTGGCTTACTCATGAGAGATTCACCTTTCACCTGTAGTCCTGTTGATCGTCGAGTAACTCGACTGGGCGCCAATAAATCTTTCATTTTTTCTTGCCGCGTGTAAGAGCAGCCCAGTAGGTTCTGCTCGCTCTAGGGACTCGTCAAGCATGACGCCTTTCTTCTAGACTTTCCGTGAAGAACTCTGACCATCGCCTCGGTTGTCTTCCTGCAGTGCGTTTAACACCTCAAGGAATCCAGTCACTAACGGCTCTTGTCCATCGGTTGTCATTCATACGCATTACGTGTCCTGCCCACCTTATCTTCGACTATTTGGCGCACGGAACGGCATTCTTGATTTTTTATCGTTGACGCACGTCGGAGCTTCGGAGCCCTTCCCTTAATTGGATGACACGGGATACTCCTAACATTGTCCTTTCGAGTGCGCGTTCAATAACGCTGAGTGGTTTTTCATCCTGTTTACGCAGCGACCAGGTTTCTGAGCATACGTTAACGCTGGAAGTACCTCTAAGTCGAAAAGGTGGGCATGGAGTCGGATGTTCTTTTTTCTCTTCACTACATCCTCGATGCTCTTGAAAGCTCTCCAGGCCACTCGTTCTCTTCTGCTCTGGAGCTAGGTCGTGCATCATATTGATTTCATGACCTAGATAGACATAGCTTGAGCATTCAGAGATATTCGTTCCGTTGAGCGTGAATGGGGAATACGAAATCAATCCGTTCCTCATGCACATCGTTTTTGTGAGATTTAGTCGAAAACTAATCTTTACACAGGCTTTACCAAAGTTGTGAAGCATATGTTGCGCCTGGCTAGTGTTTGGTGTTATAAGGGCGATGTCAAGGGCGATGCAAAGCGAATATGGCGTAACTGCCGACCATCGATTTTCACTCCCATATTACCCCATTCCAATGCATGACATTCTGGAGCGTGGCGGTAAATAATTTTGGTGAGATGGTATCGCCTTGCCTAACTCCTCCTTTGACATCAATGATAATATCGTTGTAAAATGGTGATATCTTGGTTACCGCGTGGAAATGTTCACCTTGTTATCGCAAGGTGTTTTTCGTTGATCGCGTGGTGTGACGGTGCTGTAGCATCAATGTGTTACTATGAGGTTCAAATCTTACCCTGTCTTCCTTTTGAATGAAGCTCCCCATCCCAGCTAGGTATTGAGTGTGCCGGTTGTATTTCAGAAGAAATCGTTCAAGCGCTCTGTGAGTAGTACGCAGCGTTCTTGAAGTGGTTGAAGTATCAGTTTACGCCTCTGCAGCGTGACAAAGTGCTATGAGGACTGCTGAATCGAAAAGACAAGCGCAGATTTGCAGGTCCAGAGTTGGTGGCTTCTTTGAGAAGTTCGAATGTGGCCCAAGCTGCTTTCCTTCTTCTGTCTAATCCATCCTTCATGTTGTTCTCCATGTCCATTGATCGACCAACGTATACATATGAGATGGCCTCTGCAATCAGAGAACAATCCAGTTTGATCTGATCGCCTTCGGACAATAGGCTCAGTAACTGACTCATCTATCGATTTGTGCGTAGTTCGGTCTTTTTCTCTCGCTTCGTTGAGCTCGTTGATCATCGTCCTTGCCTCGATTATACTTCTTGAGAAGAATACGATGTCGTCGGCGAAACGAAGGTTTGATAGGAATATTCCATCAATGTGTATGCCTTTCTCATTCCAATCGAGTGACTTCATTATCCACTGCAGTGCGGCACTGAACAGTTTTGGCAATATTGTGTTGCGCTGTCGAACCCCTTTTCCTACGGGTATAGTAACAGGTCGATGGAAAAGCTGTATTTTCGAAGGAGGCAGTGATTTAGAACCAGTACAGAATGACAGGACTACTGTGTCAAGTAGGCAATGCCTCATGTTTGTCAGAACATTGTCGATCTCTTCATGGGTAATGCCGTTAGGAGGCTCCCATTTCCAGCAGCAACCTTCTTTCCTCTGAAAAAAAAAACGAGTTTCTATGGAAAAGGCGTACTGCCGACAGGAGTCCTGCGAGAGGGTTTCCATTCTCACTTCTTCCTCCTTTTGCAAATTTTCCGAACCTGTATTCACTGTCATTGGCTTTTTCTATTAGTTAGTAATTACTTATTACTTACGGTTAGGAAAAGTCGTAACATTTGGAAGTCGAAAAACCCTGAATTGCAGGTGAAAAATTTTGCTTGATTTACATAAGAGACGACGACGGTTTTCTTATACTCCCGATAGTTTTCGGTAACTGCAAGGCTTGGGAACTTAATAACTCGACAAACCTAGACAAGAGCCTTTGCTCTACTGTTCTAACGAAAAGTGATAACTTTGCCAAGGTGTCGTTTTTAGCTTAAGCTTTTCTAAATTTAAGTCTTCTAAAATTGTCAGGTTTTTAACATGGTAGACCAGGGAAACCTGTACGCTATTGGCGAAGACCTCTAGATTTTGCTTGGTTTCAGTTGATTAAGTTCAACACGAAAGGAGTATGCTAATTGAAAGGTGCTTTCGAGTTCAAGTGAATTAGAAGTGAGAATCAATCAATAGGCTTAAATATTGGCCACAACAATGGAATGGTGAGATTTTTTAAATTTTTTAATCACGGATATCAGAGTCGTTGTACTATCACTTGTGAGCCTTCTAGAAGATCCGGGCATACAAGAAGCCACCATGCCAGGTTATCGTCATTTTATACTTCCTCCGTTGGTTACTTCCTTTTTCCCTCTCCTTATTTCTCAGTCACCCCAGTCCTGGTTTCTCAGATTTTCTTACTTATAATGGATTTCCCCATTTATTGTTCTAGCTCAGCTTTAATAGTCAAGACTTCAATATATTATGTGCCTGACATATTCATATTCAATACATTAATTGACTACGACTTCGAGCTCGGCTTTACACTTCTTATCAAGAATGGCAATGGAAAAATTAGAAAAGCGGAGGATAATGTATTCGCTCAGCTGCATTTTGTTGAGGAGCCTGACGAAAGAGAGCTGAAGACGTTTTGCGGTGTAACGCGGAATTTCCGTCATAGTCCATCCCCTGTGTATCCATAAATCTTACTTCGGTACCCAGAACTGAAACGTTCATATGAATTTGTTATAAGTAATATTTACGTCGTAAGTAATATTTATGAGCTGGTTCTTTCATTCCGTTTGAAGGAACAGTCATCCTGCGCCACTACAGTTTTCATAGAAGGCACGAGTACACACCTAGATTATTCAAACTATGCTCGAGAGATTGCTCAGGTTATACTTGTAAATTTTGGTGTACACTGGTATCAACCAACCTGGAGATATGGCGCACATTGAAATCAAGAAGCTCATGTACGATTTTCTAAATGAACGAAGATCATCCTATCCTATATGTTAATTGGGGTACGACTCGTTCCTTGACCGACTTATTTCAGAGAGGATCGATCCTAAAATTCCATTGATGAGAGTATATTTGGTGAACACAGATCCATTCTGAACAATTGTCGTCAATTATTTATCATCCTATAACGACAAGGCCTTCCGAAATGTGGAATTTCCGTGTTCACCTAGTGGAATTTCTGAGTTTCTTCATCGACCACACCTTATGATGCATGCTCTCTAGAACAGCATAATCCTAGCCACAAAACGATTTCGTTGAAAGCAGGTTTTCCGCAAATTATAAAGTGCAGTGAACATCTGTTCATGAGTCACGTCTCATACAAAACTTGTGCTGGCCAGGCTGTCGATGCGGTTTAAAAAATGTGCAGTAAAAAAGCTCCATGAGTACGAACATCTGTTTTTCAAATTTCTTTTTTGAACCGCGTTGAAGTACACGTGGTCACGAAGTGATTCTTAATGTGACCATTTGGTTCAAAAGTAGGAGTTGTGGATATACTTCGATTTGTGGTGACGCCGTTAATTTAATCATAGTATTTTTCACTGAGAGAATTACACGTCCAATTTCATAGCGAAGGTTTCCGAGTGACAAATGAATGGTGTTAGTTTTCATGATGACTGCATTCAGTTTTATATCCAGTCTTGTAAGTCCCAGTATGAAATATTCTGCTAAATTCCATTTCTCCAGCCCTACCCTGACGGTATGCGAGAGGCTTATTGTTGTCCATTGTAAATTGCTACTGGTTCATAAACATGAGATTCCGTGAGCATATGTGTGGCGTCGAACCAGTCCGAGAACAACTTGGGCGCCATTGCGCTTCCTAGTGCGTCGCACTGGTTAGCATCGTTTCGACGCTGAACTAGGCTTTTTGGCTGGTGGGGATGAAGCCGACATAAAACAGGTCTGGTAGCATTTTATCCCTACAGAAGCATGAAAGGCTCCGTTCACTCGGTGCGCTATCGAACCAGGATTTTGGGCCTATTTTATGAAATCTCTGGTACTGCACTACACGTGCCCTAAAAAGTTGCTAATGATTTGAATATTTATAACCGTAGAAAGCAAATCACTTTGTTCTCACATTCATCCGCTAATTGATGGGATTTGTTCACATATTCATATACCTTACTACTGGTTGTGTTCCTGTGTCTTCGCGTCATCCTCTCTTTCTATGCGGAATATAGTTGGACAGCTGTATGAGTTTATTTTTATATTAAGAGACACATGAAAGATCAGATGAATTGACCCAGATGACATATTATGATAGCACACGCAATGAGCTCTGTGGTTAAAACCATTACAGTTTAACAACAATCATTCCAATGTGTATCAAGATCATCTTTAGAGAATGGAATTTCCTAGTAGATACGTATAGGTTTACCTGATTACACATCTTAAAGAATATGAAGAAAATATTCCTAGATTTCAACGTATGTGAGCAAATTCCAAAGAACGACCATAAAAGTCTTATTTGGATGGTTTCTACTCTTTGTCAACTATTCGGAAAGGAAGTGTGGTGGTGCTGGTGCCTGAAGGTCATACAACCTGTTAGTGGAAAGACCACCTAGTGATGGCCGTCCATATTCGCCATTAAGACGACAGAATGACGAACTGGGAGAGGTGTTAATGACCTCGCTTTCGTCTTCTCGAATCACTTGTTGTACTGCGGATGAAACGAAACGATCTCCAGCCAGTTTTACAAGCTCTTCAATCAGATAGTGATATTCTGCGTTAACTTTCCGTTTCTGAAAATTACAGTTAAGTGAGAAATAAGGGGAAAACCACTCGGCATACGACACAACACGAACAAAAAGAAGAAAAAGGCAACAAGAAACGATGAAATGAAGGCGACAGGCTTTGCTTAAAACAAGGCTCAGTGTTATCTTTCTTATTTACTGCCTATTACAATTTTTCACGGCGATGTACTGTGTATGACACAACCACAATGATGCTGAGATATTTGCAAAACACCGAAACGCTGGTGTCTGCGGTGGGGAACGAACGTACCGTTCCAGGGGCTAACTCGTTCATCACTACACCATGCGGGTCCTTCGCTTCGCCTGTCTCTCAGCTAGTTTTATCATGATATGGTGTTACTGCCGTGGTTTCTCCGAGTAAAAGCACTGCTTTTCTTTTCAAGAATTACTGAAGAATCGTCGAGACCAAACTTAGGAATCTTTTGTGCGGAAAACCATTCCCGACCTATCATACTTCACTCTTATTTAGTTTTGAAAACTACTTGAGAATTTAGTAGTCTCTTTCAGAGCAACACACAGGAAGTTTCCGACCGCGAGAACTAGTTGTTGCGTGCTGAAATTCAAACGAAAGATAAAGTGCTTTAGGCTATACTTCTTACAGCAAAATGTGTCAAATCAGTTTTTTCATGTAAATGTCATGTGTAGATAGCATATAGGCAATAAAATGGAGAAAAACCTACAAAATCAACACAGTTAGGATCTCTGCCATATAAACTGCACGCAACAGCCTCGTCAATCATAGTTTCTGAATTATCCGATGCCCAAGGGCGACTTAACCTCATGTACCGATGTGAAGGCTGGAAACCTGGAAATATACTAGGCCTCAATTCTTGTACATAGTATTGTAGAGTACACTGAATTCAACAGTGACATCGCTTGCATTGGCAGACTTATTTATTATGCTCCTGCTAGATACATCACTGTTCAGTAAGAAGAGTAAAATGGGCGCGTGTGGCGCAGTAGTCGAAGGCGCCCTGCAACACACGTGGAGCCGATCCCCGCGGCCATGGCTCGCCAAGCTTTCCATTCCTCCGGGTCGGTAAATCGGTACCAAACTTTTCTGGGAGGATAGCAGCACTGGCTCGATACATCGGCAGGCCACCGCCAGTCATTGTAAAGGACAGATAAGCATTCAATCACCTCCAAACGATGCTTAATGAAGACAAATGTATGGCGCATCCCTCACGGATTGATCAACGCCGAGAGCTTTTTTTGAGAAGAGTAAAAATATGCGTTAGATTTGTTTTTCTTATCTTAAAAAAGTCGATGAAACAGGTTAAATCAAAACTAGTCACGAAGGAACTGTTAGGAACAATATTTGAAGAATAATCTATTGATGATGTGAAATCGGAAGTTTCAAAGTACATAGGTTAAGCACTGGGCGACGGTTGTAATGTGCAACAGCGGTTGCTACTTTGCTGACGACAGTTTCTACCGTCATAATACTTGAATACTTGGATGGCCCATCCTAAGTGGTTGGGCGAGCCACAGCAAATTTTGATTTTGCGGAAATTTGCTGCTTAAGTCATTGTGGTTCCCTGGAGTCCTGAGGTCAGCATGGCCAAACTATGCTCCAGGTCGTCACCACCAAAGGCAGTCGCCGCCATTGTGGATCAGGAGATTTGCCACCATGCGACTAGTTTGATACCAAGACAATGGGGGGTCCTGCTATTGATTTACTCTTAGCTGGCTTTTCTGATGGAAATGCCGGCCTCCTCAGCTTGGGAGGCCCTGCTAAGGGGAGGAATCTCCGCGCTGTACATCGCAGCCCAACACCCAGGAACACCTCCCAGTCACGTTGAGGATGTAAACCGTTGGGAGATTGTAACAGCTGGAAATCGAAAATTGTTGAGTTACGGATGAAAAATTGTGCATGACTTACACAGGAGCCGATGACGGTTTTCCTACAACTCCCGATAGTTTTCAGTAAGTAGATAGTAAACCATTGTCATAATAAGTCTATAAAGAACAGTAACTAACCAGTAAGTTGCTCAAACACATAGCGTTCAGACATTTCTGCGAATTCCCTACTGCTTTTGGGAATTGGCAACCATTTCGAGCTGATCTGACTTCGTTTTGCCGATGATTCCGGCCAAAGTACTGCCGCCAGTTCAACTATAGTAGCCCAGATTAACGTGCTGGAATACAAGTACTTGTCACGAAATGCATTAAAAATAAGTATTACAACAAGGAACACAGGTTAAGAAGTTAGACTAACTTCTTATTCCGCACAATCAGTCGCTCTTTTTCATCTAAAGCAAGCGTATCACATTCAAGCTCAGGAACAGGGATAAATTCATCCAGCATCGCACGCATAAATCCTCTTGAATTAACCAAATTCCAAACTTCTTTGGAAAATTGAAAGCACTGAAACTTGACAGTGTGGTAATAAAGAAAAGTGTTACGGTAAAAGAAACAAGGGTGCAATGTGGAATCTTAGCAAGGAAGTATTCCTAGGTGTTGAAGAGCGAACTAGTACGGAATGTTCACACGCAAACAAGACGACCCAATCTGGTAGACAGTTCGATATTTCCACCCTTAACTTCGGCTAAGACAACTAAATCTATATAGCCACACTTTCGTGAAAAGTCATTAAAACCAAGGACTCGACAATCCATTGAGCAAACATAATAATGTGACTGGATCGAATGGATACCTTCCTGGTCGTCGTTGAGTTGCTTGATTACTAGCGGGATTAAACGACAGATCTCAATAATATTATTCCTCGTCATAAAGTTTTAAGAGCAAGAAAAAAAAACAAGCCTTCAGCTAGGATACCTTTTCTTTTATCCAATCTGATGAATCCACTTTTTCTCTAAGATTCTCAAGTTTCCGCCTCTGAACCATTTCTGAAAAAAAACGGTTCACAGGTTTCTTTTTTATTTTATCACTTTACCACCGATTAAAATTCCCAGAAATTATGCAGAAAAGTTAGAAACTTAGTTTAGATTTTTTACTCCTCATGTTCGTTTTTTTCCTGAGAAATGTACTGTTTCCATGTTTTCATTCAAACTAAGGCTCTACGTTAGGTAGTATTCTACCAAAGGCTGATAATATGTGATACTCGGTGTATGGCGATGATAGTGGAGATATCTGTTATGTGTATCTAAATTATTTTAGTTATGGTTTTAGAAACTGCGCCATCCACAATTTTACTACTAAGCTTCACAGCAAATCAGCCAAATCCAGATCAAAATCAACTAACCGTGTTCCGGAGTGACATTCGTAGGAGGCGTGGAGATGAGTTTGTCAAAAATCGAAGAAGGCTGAAATTTATGCGTACTCTATCGCTGCCATAAATTGTTGAACAAAGATTTATTTACCTAAAAAGTTCAGCACCATGAAATTTCGATTGCTAGTGGAAAAAAAAACTAAGGCGGGCAATTTACACACTCTTCAAATAACTCAAACGACAATCATGTGGTCTTCTGAAACAAACCTTTTCTATAGAAAGTAAGTCCTCATAAGATTCATCATCCAGTTCGGTTTGAGCTTCTGATGAATCAACAATTTTGTTGTCACGCTTCGACAATGGACGTCGCAATTCTAGTTGAGCTTAAATGCATAAGATAAATGAAAAAATGTGTTGTAGCATAATAACTTCTTTAATTGAGGTAGCGCAGTGGTTAATGATATAGCTCATCAAGAAACAAAGAACTCCCTCCCAACACTTTCCTCCAATCCACGTGTGAACGCTTTAGCTCAGCTATCTGTATGATTGCAAGCAGAATCGACATGTCCAGCATTCTACGACATTCATAAAGAAGACGAAATCTTCAAGCAGCAGTCGAAACAACACGCAAATTATCATTGCGAGGAAAGCAAATCGAATGCAAGGAGTGTTGGGATCCGCAGAGTAGAACTGATGACGGGTCATGTAAAATAAAACTTCTTCTGTACCAAAAATGATGAAAACTACTACTTTTAAATGAAATTTTATTATCTTAACTCTTTTATTTACTGCCTTTTTCTTCTTAATGGCAGGGTATGTTGTGAAATATAACTCGTATGAAGTGCTGAGATATCTGCAAAACTCCGGACCACAGGTGTATGCAGTGGAGAACGGACACGCGCTGTTGTCCTTACCGGGGAGCAGCGCACTTCACCACTACACCATCCGGATGGTCCCCGGTAAGGACAACAGCGCGTGTTCGTTCTCCACTGCATACACCTGTGGTCCGGAGTTTTGCAGATATCTCAGCACTTCATACGTGAAATTTTATTAGTACACCACTTTACTTACTAAGATAACAATCTCCCCATTACCGCGGCAAGTCAACCATATGCTGTATATGTGGAAATCATCACCGTACCATGAACGGGAAGCCGAGAATATGTCATAATTGCCTCAAATCACTTTACACATTTAATCTGCTACAACTTTCTGCTACAACCCAATTATTAAGTGGAAAAATAAAGTAAGATGGCTATATATCAGCAGAAGGAATACGGTAGGATTACTAAATAACCAAGGAAGAGTACAGCTTAGAATACATGAAGATATTACATAAATCACAAAGACAAGTTGTAGAAACTGTGCGTCTTGTTTCGTATTAGTCTATATTCGTTATATAAAGAGGCAGATAGTGGAGCTGTGACAGTGATGCCGCCCATGATGAGCATGATAATGGTTCGAAATTCACAGCAATTAACCGGCCGAAAATTTGTCCCACATTTGTTTGCCTCTTAATCTTATAATGTTGCCACAGTTCAGTATTTTATGCATACGACTGGTCCAACTCATTAGTCTACAACCTGTTAAATATGACTTTCTAATTTGTGATTTGGAACCAACAACGGATACGATACAAATTCCACTCTACTGTTGAAAATCTCTCCCCTAAGAAATTCCAGCATACGTGATCGCACCTTAGTGGGCATGGTAAGAAAGACGTCTTGTTCTACTTGTTGGTCACAGGTGCGGTTAAATTACTCCTTAATATGATGGCTGTTGCAAAAGGCTATCTTCAAGCTGCAGTTTCTTTTCGCTTTGATATTTAAAAGCAATTTATCCTGTTCTGATATCGCTGATTCAAAAAATAAGCATTTACAGTAGAATAGCAATAAAAACACAAACTACGTCCTCTACAGATGCTGTACAGTTGATAGATTTCCCGCATGCTTGAAGAAAGTTCTGTACTTTTAGAACTATTATGTTTCCAAAGGATTTTCAGCATACCATTTGCATGTCATATTATTCTGTTTCATTTTTATTCTTCGGGTATTAAAGTTAGTCCTGCTCTATAACCAATTATGCTTGATAGAACTACTTTTCACAAAAAATGCACTATTGTAAACGAGAGATAATCAAAGGAAATAAAAGCAAAATTAGTAGTAGAATTGTAGGACGCACCGATTTCTTCATCAATGCCAGTTACCACATGGTCTGTAAGCAAGCGCATTGCCTCTTCTTGCGCGATGGTTTCAGCCTGTAATGTTTTTTTGTCAGTTAAAAAATGACAAAATCAAAGTGCTTCTCACACTTTACGTGATTCCTACTTAGAGAAAAAATTAGTGTTTTGAAGTGTTTCCACTTACAACTTTCATGTTTAGATTTTCCTCGAGAAATAATCCAAGGCGAGGTGAAAGAGAACTAGGCATTTTTGTCATGAAACGCCTAGAAAAAACCATAATCCCAAAGCAATCACAGTCTTAAAAAAAGATCTATATTGTATAAAAACACTATGGCGTTGCTCACTCTTGAGGCGTAGGTGGCGATCTTGGTACTGATGATTTTGTGTCCTCCAATAAAGACTCGCTCAATTCATAGCGATATCTGCTCAGTTGTAAAGAGGAACGTCGCGGCGACGAAGTTTCGAACAAATGTCTAATCGACGACGATAGTTCATCGTACAGTTCGGTTCTAGTGAAGCTCTGAACAGATATTTCTTAATGAGTGGTTCGAACCACTGGTCTTGTAGTAAATGTAGTGCACTACAGTTACTCTGCAAAAAGGGTCTTAACAAAATATGCATTAGATCGCAATGAAGTTAACAAGACAAGGAATTTAAGCAAAGCATAGTCAGGTAATCAACCTGCCAAAATCGACATATTTACGGGATGCTCCTCGTGTCTGAAGAAAATGTACACATTCCCTCATACAACTCACTAACCAAAAGTAATACCTATCATAATTCTTCACTTCTTCCGACCTTTCTGCACAACTAGTTTCGATACATTTGAAAATGAAAGTTATGTTAATACGCTCTCGTTTAATTGACTGATCTGGCCATTAAGAAGAAAAACATTTTCAAAAAATTTATATGACATTAGCTACTTTATGATGACTAGCAACGTCTCTGACAAATATGGATGCTTTTCAACATGTAGAAACAATATGGGAAAACATTAACCTTTACTTTTTAAACTTATTATTTACTGCCTACTCTTTTAACGGCAGAGTATATACTGCGAAATATAACCTTAATGATACCGAGATATTTGAAAAACTCCGGACCGCAGGTGTCTGTGGTGGGCAACGAAAGCGTTATTGTCCTTTCCGGGAAGTAACGCGTTCACCACCACACCATGCGGGTCTTCGCTTCGCCTGTTTCTCAACCAGTATAGATGCATAAGCAATATGTGAAAATGGAAAGATCTTAAAAAAAAACTGACCAATCGCAACAACGTGCCCGCAGTCGGATCCAGTACGAAAGTGTTAAACTCCGATTTCTCTTCAATATTTTCGTCTGCAGTATTTACTTCTTTGGACTCGTTTTCAACAATAAGCACATCATTAGGTAGATTGTCGTTATCTCTATAAGTAAAAACTTAAGCGTTTTCATGATGACAGAGTTAACGAATCACAAAGTAAAAACCCTACTATTTCAAATTCCTGGTTAGTTAGCCAAGTCCTTAGGTAAACAAATGAACACTTCAGTTTCTTACTCATAGCTTTCTCGACTAATTATGTACAAGAACATTCGATGTGGAATATATGAACAGTTTCGCAACAAGCATAGATAATTGTCAACATGAACCCGCCAGAAAATTCAAAAATGATACATCGCATCCCGCAGATTATCATTATCCAGCAACGCTTACCTCTTCAGGATGTCTGTGAATATGGAAGATCTACTTTGACGCATAGTATATATGACAATAAAGTATACAGTACTCCACCATTAAAGAAGAAAAAAACAACCAACCTTTTCTCCTCACTGGTCCCTTCGGTTAAATTAGTGAATGTTTCCATTAGATGATTCAAACCGATGACCACATCGTTAGAGCCTGTCAGATATCCCTGCGCTTCTTCATTCCGTAGCCCAGAATATTCTTGGAATTCTATTCGCTTTAGTTCTTCCTCTAAGTTAAATCCTTTGGAATTCCCGCCAGAAACTATGGCTGTCTGTTCTGCTACGTTGCAGTTCCTTTCATCCTGCACATGCAGCATATCATCCTTTTCCACTGCAGGCAGCTGGTTATCATTAGTTGACTGAAGATTCTTTATTGTTGAACCTAAATAATCGAACGAAAGATCTAAAATTCGGGAACTCTGGGGTAAAATCCTATGAAAACCTTCTATTTGAAGACATACTGTACTATAAACCCTATATACAATATCTTAAGGTGCATATAGCGCTGTATTTAGAGGTGCACTGTAATAAACACAGGATCGAACCAACGACACTATGTGCACTGCACCTTTAACCTTGCACTACACACGTCTCCAATCAAATATTCTCGCTTAAAACAGTAAAAATAAAGGCTTCTGTATAAAAGTGTGATTTCTTTCACGTCGCTCGAACCGGCATAGCATATGGACAGCTTCGGAGACGATAGAAATTTATTGATATCCACCACAGTTACTCTATTGTTGATTGCACTATAGGAACACGCTGAATAAGTTAGAACAATCTCATTTGGAAAAAAAACAGAGTCACTCTAAGTTCAATTTTCCCAAAATATACCTTAGTCATAGAAATTAACTCTGAAGATACGCCACTAGAAACTATTTGTCAAGAATTAATTTTAAAGATGATTAAAAAACCTACCGATATCTGTCCTTGCATCTAATGCCTCGATAACAAAGGAATGAACGAAGTTGTTCTCCTCAGATTTCCACTTCTTTGGAGCAGTTATTACCAAAGTGCCTTCCTCTCCAGTACTATCAAATTCTTCGACATCCTAAAAAAGAAGAAATAAAAATATACATGTGCAATAACCTTTAAAGTTTGTAATTAAAATTCGTAGTTAATATCTGGGTAGCTGATAGAGTAGCATTCAATGAGAAAATCTGTTGTTTGTTGAGATATCAGACGTATGATCAGGAATTTTGAAGGTTTATCAACTCTATTTCCACTTTGCGCCGGATGGAAACTGGAAGCAACCTCTCACAACTCTTATGAATTAAGAAAATGCAATATATCATATATGCCAAACTTCTTAAGCCGTTTGCAATTAAGCGCGACAAGTAACACCTTCATGTGTGTCCACCTGTTAATAGCCCGTAATCGAAAACACAAACTTTTGTTTTTAAAATCCTCCCCATGTTTAGAGATTACTACTAAGTTTATTGCTCAAAACAATGCCATTTCTCGCCCAGAGATAAAAATTACAGATAAATGGCGCAAAGATTAAATAACTCGTGTGATCACTGGAACAGGCAACTTACATGGATCTTCTCCTCAAGAATCTGTTCTTTAGAAACAAAACCACTCAGCAATGTCGTCGTCTCTCCACAATTTTCTCCATATTTAGTAGCAGTGTCCGTGATTTGATCTATACCTCCAGTATTTTCGACGACAATATCAGTCTTGTCTAATATAATAGTGGTGTTCTGTCTATTTAGTTGGTCCTGTGATGAAATAAGACTGTCTTCATCAGACTCAAACGAACCCTTCAACGATTCTGAGTGCGAAATTTCCGATGGTGGATTAGAAGTTGGGACGTGGTCAGCAGACAAATTGGCAGATGTGTATTCCTCTCCAGTGATAGGATTGACAACAACCGCTGACCCGCCTACTCTTTCCGAAATGTCTAATCTTCCTTGTATTTCCGATAGGTGAAATTGAGCTAGTGATACATCCAGAGCAATGTTTTCTTGAATGTATGACGCATCACCAGAACCGTCTTTCTCATCACCAATCGGCTTAGTGAAAATTACGTCTGGGTTCCTTTCACTGCCTAGTAATACGTCATTTAAAAGGACGGTGTCATCGGCATACGTATTAGCAACATCATTAGTGTTAACTATGATTTCCTTCGCTTCTGCTACTGCTCCTTCCGAATCAAAACGCATTTCCTCATTAGTATGGGCCATCTTCTGCGGAACAACATCCTGGAAAACTACTAGTAGTAGTTCTGAATACATTTGATATAGTTTAATGCTAAAAATACATTATAGATTGATACCCCACAATTCCATTTAACTGAATCTGATTGAACAAAATCTTAAACATTTGTAAGAAAAATAATTAGTTAAAGCAACTACCAAACAAATCCAAAGAATCCATGAATTTTACAATTTAGGAAACAATAAGAAGTATATATTACATGAATCATAATGATCCTGTAGAATAAATCACTTTATCAACGCACCTCAACAGTGTTCTCTACACCCTGCTTCACACCATCCCTTGAAGAACCGTCGGTAGCTAGAGTAACCACGTGACGAGACAATATTGTGAGAATTTCAGCAGTATCCAATGTACGGCGAGATGGAAATTCTAAAATTTTATGTCTTGCTAACTTCGTGATCTAGTAATTAAGTAAAAATGATGAAACAGCAAATTAGAGCTACAAAACCTTTGTCAAAACCGCTTGGCATATGTTTCTCTCGACTATCCTCATATAGCGTACCTTCTGAACTTGCTGAACAGGATTTGTTTCCCTAAAAAAAATATCATCCTTATTTCACACCGGTAACTGCGTTAAAAAAGACTATTCAACAAGTGTATACGGATTGTATTCAGAATTTTGAGTCAGCGACTCAGAACAGCAATGAAAACATGGTTGTTTTGCTCCAAGTCAGATTTTGAAATGAAAAATGATACACTAAAAAACGATAAAGCAACGCACATCATCATCACCTAGGTGTGAAACTGAATCTTCGTAAACTGTAGAGTGCGAGTGAGAACGGCAGATGCTACCTTCTTCAGTCTGGTGCTGAAAATATATATGGCACAATTTTCACAATCGTTAACAAGCAAGACTTAGGAAACTCTAACACATTTCCTGATTTGCTATTTAATGTATGTATGTATATAACCACCACAATGCTGAGATATCTACAAAGATCATCCCTGTGGTAGCGGTTGATTTCACATCATAGTCTGCCGTGGAAAAACAATACGCAGTAAAAGTTCCCAGGATCGACTTTCTACTAACCTCGGCATTGGAATATGAACGCGTCGTTTTCTTGTTCAGCAATCACGAGGTTTTTAAACAGCATACATTTACTTCCATAGAAAAACACAATACAATACAACACTAGTTGACGTTTCGGCACTATCGCCTTCTTCAGAGCTTCGAAGGGTACACTGATGTACAATCTACTAGGCCAAACGCTTCAATAACACTTACAAAAAAACGAAAAAACTCTATGGTAATAACATGATCAACACCACAAAAAACACCGCTTTCTACGTGACTTCCAATGAGGAAGCTTAGAACAGCTGATTATAATCGCATTGGTTGATGACCGCACCAACCCACATCTGAAATTTGTGCGAGCATACGGTGTCATGTCGCGCATGACCTCTGGGCATTCCTCTCTGCTATTCATTGTACATGAGTTCAGGTACGATATACCTGATCTCTTGTAATAATTGCGGAGATGAATATGTTGGCGAAACGGGCAGAGCTTTGTGTGTCCGTATAAATGAACACCTATATGGCAAACGAAAACTCAGACAAAGTACTTCACTAGGCACGCACAGGATACAAAAGCATAGCGGAGACGATTTTGAAGTAAAAGTCAATTTCCTTGCACAGTAGACTAAAACAGCGGCACAAAAACTTCCTGAGGGTTTTTGGATAAATGCCAAGAACCCTGCAATGACTAGCAGGGAGGAATGCCCAGAGGTCATACGCGACCTGATCCTGTATGTTCGCATCAATTTCTGATGTGGGATGGTGCAGTCATCAACCAATGCGATTATAATCAGCTGTTCTAAACTTTCTCATTGGAAGTCACGTAAAAAGCGGTGAATTTTTCGAGAAGCTGCTGATCATGTAATTACCAAAGAGTTTTTCGTCTTTTTGTAAGTGTTACTGAAGCGTTTGACCTAGTAGATTGTATATCAGCATACCCTTCCAGGCTCTGAAGAAGGCGATACTGCCGAAACTTCAGCTAGTGTTGTATTGTATTGTTTTTTTTATGGAAGTAAATGTATGCTCTTTAAAAACCTCGCGATTGCTGGAAAAGAAAGCGACGCATTAATACGCAGTAAATGAAAAGTTAAACGTGCATACTGCATATACACATATATTTGTATATACGTGTACATATATATATATATATATGCATGTATATACGTAGAGTGTGTGAAACACACTGATTAAAGATATCATGCAATTATGCTCGCATAGTTAATAGTACAATAGTTTCAGACTTGTCTACGAAAAGGTTCTTCCGATTTACATTGGCCGTTGAGTTGCCGTGAACGGAACCTAGAAATGCTCTACCAGAATGCCATAAAGAATTCACTCGACTAGCACTCAATTACACTAACGAAAAAAACTTTCTGGATGAGCACTGCGAGAAAGCGAAAAGAATGGGAAAATTGCTGGAATCCGCACAGTCAGGGTATATACAAACAGTCCGCCGGCCTAACCCTTTGGCCCTTTATGGCAACTCCTGACAATTTCGAAAACGGAAAGAACGAAATTGTGTCCACCATCTACCAAACTTCTTCGCCATCTCATCGTAGTTTACAATACATAATGATGCTAGGTTGTCATGAACACGACCTCACGCAATGATGAAAATTTACCAGTAGGTGGCCAATATCGTCGCGTTTTCGAGAAACATAGTGGTTAGTGGGGAGCGCGTGGCACAGTTAGAGGCGCCCTGCAATATATATTCATTCCTCCCGCGCTCCAGGCTCACCAAGCCTTCCATGCTACCAGGGTCAGCAAATTGGTAGCAGACCTCTCTCCGAGTATAGCAGCTCTGACTTGGTACATTCGTAAGCCACCAGAAGTTATTGTATAGGCCAGATATGCATTTAATCATCTCTAAAGATACCTAATGAAACCGAATGCATGGCGCACCCTAAGGGGTTGATTTACGCCGATAGTTTCATCCTTTTTATTCGTTTATACTGGTTAGTCAAATATTAACTCATAAAGTGCTTGTTGAATGAACAACATCTGATGTAAGTGAAGATAAATGGTAATTCTGCCATCTACTGGAGGAACCCAATCTCTAAACATTTCTATTCGATAGTTAAATAGGAAGGTAGAGTGGACTACAAGAAACTCCAAGCATCCTCGGCTTTGGACATCGGAAGGGGAATAGTTCGCACAAGGGAAGCCATCTGTAACCAAAGTCATCCAGCTGCAGCTTGTAAGTGGACGTAACATTATCAAAGGAGCTTTTAGACGATACTGTAAAAGGAACACACCGCTTTTATACGCGAAAGTTCAAAAAAAAAGAAAAACTGCAGTGGAAAGTTGCAGGAAAGAAGTAAAACTGCCAATCTTTCTATCTTTTTGAGGAAAGCCTGTTTTTGAAACCATGTAAATGAAATTTCCTAGTTTTGCCAGGCATCATGATACCTTGCCAGTCCCCTCACCAGTTACCCAGTTATCGCTTATTTTTAGTTCGAAAGTTTGATTTAGACGGAAGTAGATTTTATACATGGTTCATAAGAATGAGAATGCCACGTAATAGATTGCAGAATTCTCGGATAGAGCTAGACTGTTCAAAACGACAAATTGCAAGAAGTTACAGAACTGTGTTGTACAGAAGGTTCTTCCTGGATCGTTTAGATTATCGTGGTAGATATTGCACACAATTTTCTGGAACGATGAATAATTTGCCATTAGAGCAACAAATAATAAAGAGAAAGGAAAATACTAAGAAATCTTATTCTAACAGTGGACTGACTGTTCAACATGAGATCAATTTCGTGAGAAAAAACTGTGGTTTTTAACTTGAGAAAATACTAGAGAAATTATGAAAATTCAATCCTGTCTGCTTATAAAGAAGGAATTTAAAAAAGCTTTCACTAATTGAAAGTGGAACATAATCTTTTGAGTACTAGAACACAGAAGGAAATCAGCAATGGCTTATGTGAATAAGCAATTTATCTGGTTGCTTCAAAGGAGAAGGGGATCCCACTACATCCAAATCCAAAAGGGTTAATCATTTGGGATTCATTAGAAAGGTATATACTACAAAGTAGTGTAAATAGACAAAAAAACTAATTGATAACCTCCTCGATGAAAACAAACCTCCGAATTATTCTTTCGAAAAGAGGTCTCCCACTACTTTCGTTCGTTTTTTTTGTCGGCAACCACCAAATGGAAATAAAGTAAGAACACTATAACAAAACCTGATCAGCAGGTTGTTCAAGAGCAGCCACCGGTGATGCGACTAATGTTGGTTTAGTTGCCCTCCCTTCATCTGATAAAGCAGTTTGAGGAGACAACCGATCCAAATCTAGTGGTTCAACTCCAACACGGCGAGGTGTGGAAATCTCTGGTGGTACCAAGGATTCTTCTAAAACATGGAAAAGGTTACGCTGTCGAATGCTACATTTGCTTATACTTTTGACTTTTGTAAACCTCACGACTTCATTCATTAAAGCCAAATATACCACAGCAACTGATCCTACCCTTGTTGCTTTCAGACGAAATCTTGTCAAGTTGAGTGATTAAATCTGTTCGCTCAGCTATTACTCTATCGTATTGAACAATTTGTGCAGCTATTGATTTCTTCGTTCTAAATAACAAGGTATAGACATGCCTTAATTTACAAAAAAACCCAACCACCTCTCCATTACCAGGTTTAAGGGAAGGGAACACTCACTAACAATTATAAGTATCCTTACTAGACATAGCTGACCTCTTTTCAATATCTTTGGACATCTCCTCGAAACTCTTATTCAGAATCTCAGCCTGCTCACGACGAGCTTCTAGATTACGACGCATTGACCTAGCACTTAGATTCCACATATCGCAGTCAACTAAAGAAGACGTCAATATAGGATCATCTACTGAAAATATAAAAGAACAACGAAAAAATATACGAAATGACTATTTCATTGAAGAAAGAACCATGTTTTTTATCGGACAAATAGATCCGTTAGAAAACTAGATTATTTAAAAAAACCAAAACTTCAGCTTTCTATCCTTCTAGCGAAAACCAAAAAATGAAGAAAACATTGCATAACGAATAAACCTACCACTTTTATTTAGTGCTTCTGTATCAATACGAACTGCTGAGTTTCTGCAAACACTTTGCAAACGAGTATTCACGTAAGTAGACAAATATGCATCTTTAGGATCCCTGTAGCAAAACACTGCTATTAAGCAGAGAACCTTCAAGAAATTAAGCCATAGTTCATCATGGTAGTCACTCGGTTCATCAACAGGGATCACAAACCTACCTTCGTGAACTCAAAGATTCTAAACCAAGAAGTCTTCTGATTGTGTTGCCACAGTCCTTCGTCTCATTACAAAGCTTTCGCTGACGAATCTTGATAAACTTCAGCAACTCTTTCTAAAAAGCATGATATACACATAAATGTGTGCATATATATATATATATATATATATACACATATATGTATATATATAGTGGCAAATTTACTATCTGGTACGCACATTGATGAGATACTCATCAAAGCAAAATTGCGGATTAACTGAACTCGAAAAATTTCACTGCCAAATGACTCACGATGAATAAATTTTTGCTTAACGTATATGGTCCTAAGCTGTCGTTATAAGTATATCCCAGTCAAAAAATGTTTTTAGAAAAGATGATAAGATAATAATTAGGATCAATGGGGCCACATTTAAAGAAGAAAATATGAGAAAGCATGGACGATAGCCTATGATTTATGATGAACACTAGCATTATACAGACAAGATCTTCTACAATGATAAAGTTTAAAATAAAAAAAGACTAAGAGTCAACCTGAGGCACTTGGTATTCCAACCAAGAATTTGCCTGACCAATAGCACTTTCATAATCTTCATTGGCAGCTGCAACTAACTTTTTCACTTTAGCCATTTGCGTCGGTGTTGATGCCAATCTTAAATGAAAAATAAAAAACTGAAGAATGTTTTATGAATTAGCAACTATCCTCCTATCCTTTAGCCAATTCCTCTCTGTGAAGAAGTTTATGCCACCGCTACACCAGTAAGTTGTGTCAATGAGGCTGAAAGATTGAGAGAAATCCCGACAAATTTGCACCTTTTCTTCAGTTTCAGTAGAGCCAATCGAAGATTGTAAAATCGCGTCCTCATACGGATGTAAGAATCCACTTCTCCCTTTAGCTCTGCTCTTCCGACTAGAAATAATTTAAATGGATGACAATGAAGAATCCACCAACTTGCTTACTAAAACAGATAAAGCAATGGCCGCAAAGATGTAGATAAAGAAGGCAGCACAAAATCAATGTTAGCCAAATTGAGATATTGAGTAACGCCATTTTGTTCAATAAAATTTCAAAGCGACTAAATAAATCGGCGGTTTTTTATTCACAAAAGTTCAATGTTTCTCTACTGACCTCTATCTTTGTCAATTTCGGAGGAACTTGTGAAATCTACTGCGACTTTTTGCTCATTTGCATTTCCAGGCGTCACCATTGACAGTCCAACCGGACTACACGGACTGTGAAAAGGACAAATTTGCTACAAGCTAGATAATGAACTAAACAGTATTTTGAAGCGAATAATATATCAACGGTTCTACTTGATATCTTAATTGTCTGTCTTCAACAAGAATCATGAGATATGCCAAAATGGATATAATTTCTCAACTGACTGGTATTTCGATAAATTATCACGATTTTTTCCCATGAGACTTAAGTAACCGTTCTGAGACTTTCTCGCGTTGTCGCCACAAGTAATCGCTGGTCTTTCTGGACCAGATGGAGATTTGTATGTGAATGACTAGTTTTGCTCCACATTGGCAAACTACGACACTAATCTACTCCTAGTCGAAGTTCTGAATGAAAATCCCAAACTACTCAGCCGAGTGACCTTACTTGAAAGCGTGCCGGAGTGTAGGTGGAGCGTACGGAAGAATGGAAGCAAGGATAAACGGACTCAGCTTTTTTCCACCGACACTTTTCTGGTACATTACTACACTTAAGTGGGAGCCTACATTTCGTCTCCAGAATTAGAGATGCAAGTAGGATCGATAAAAGGACTGATCAGTTTTGATCAGACATCATAACCGGTATTCTCGGAGATAACTGTCAGAAGTTTTACGCACACACAGCAGCAAGTCAAACAGCCAATTTTAACATCTCTAATCAAAACCACTTTTAGAACAGCAAATGTGTTCGTCAAACTTACTCATCTCCTATCTCGAGAAAATTAGCCAAGACCTCGAGAACACAAAGAGTAACTTGCTGACACCGCTACTCATGAAACAGACAACCTACCACCTATCTCCTTGACAACTATTCTGAGAAAAAGAGTAAAAGCTACGCTCACAAAGAACGACGCTGCCCAATGAGGATGATTCATTTAAGCGGTGCTCTATTCCAGTAGATTCAATTCAATGCGATTACAAAGACCCATATCGCAAAGACGAACACCTGTGGACAATCAACTTGAATCACTGCGGCTATACAGAAAGAGAAGGCACCGAGGTGTTAGCTTAATGAAAGCTTTACGACAATCTTATGTTAGCTTAATCATCGAAGAAATTACCGAGTACTCATGCCGACGTTGAAGGAAAAGAGATTTTGGAGTAGTATCACGCTTTGTGCCATCTAAAAGGAATATCGAATGCTCCAAAACACACTGCCGCAGAAAAAAGCATCATATCGGATGGCGATAGATTAACAAGCATTCTCTATAAAGAGGCACTGCCGGTTGAAGGTACTTCATTCCAGCACTGTTCCACTTCCAATGAATTTGACTTGATGTGATTACGAAGATCCATGTCGCAACGACGGACGTCTGTGGACAATCGACCCAAATGATCGTGTTAGCCGAAAAAGTATATTACGACAAATTCGTGCTAGCCTAATCATCAAAGAAAGTGTTGTTTAACCACATCGGGGTTAAAGGAAAGTAGGTATTTAAAGTACGCCCATACAATTTGGTCGTATATTCGTCAACCCAAAAAGACAAGAGAAACAAGCGATAAAAAATAAAGCATTTATGGCGAAAACTGCATTCAGTTATTCGTATCAGACAACGATAAAACCTTAGAAATTTAGGTCCAAGACTAGTACTCAAGGCAAAACAATTCAGTGCAACATCCTGCATGGTACAGATTTACAAAATATAAATTGTAAAAAACCTTCCCTATGTTATTAGGACCTTTTCTAAGCGGTTTGGCTTAGATATTTACGGAATTATTGGAGTTAAAAAGTTAGACGGAAAAAGAACAACGAATTCCTACTTCAAATCATTAGGCGCTTGTTCGTCATCAAACGTCACCAACGACTCATCGTGAAGAGAAATAGAGCTCAGAATTTCGTCGAAATCGTCAGTTTTATCCATCTGAAAAAAGAAACAAAAAGTTTGTAAGCGCAAGGAATGATTTAGCCACCACTTAGTTATAATAGTTTAAAAATGTAGCAATTTTGGGAGTGGATGTGATAATAAGAAAACTCGAACAGTTTGACAGACCAACTGACCATAAACAGAGTCTTGTCTATGATCAAGAGATCAGAGGTACCAATATGTCGACCGGTGGTCAAACAAAGGGTAATGAAAGTGGTACACATTTGAAAAGCTCCAATGGATAAAAAAGGATGAAGCTCTGGGCGTTGATCAATTCCTGAGGAATACGCCGTGCATTCGACTCTATTAAACATTAAGTTATTGGAGATGATTGAATGTATATCTGGCCTTTACAATGACAATTGGTGGCCTACCGATGTATCGACCCTGTGCTGCTAGCCTCCGAAACAGACCTGGCACCAATCTGCCGACCTCGGAGGGATGGAAGGCTTGGTGGACTTGGGGCGCGGGATCGATTCCGTGTGCATTGCACGGCGTCTCCGACCACTGCGCCACTCCAAAAGATAGGTTATTATTTCTAAGCAATCCACAAAGTATAAACCATTTGATCCGTCCATTTGATAAAAAACATTAAGAAAAAGACAATAACGAACAATGAATAACTCCGACACGCTATGAGAATATAACAGTTGACCACGAGGTTTGCCACCCAAGTTCAACAAGTCAACCATGATTGACCCACTACTTGCCTTCCGCCTTATTTCAAAAGAAGACATATCTACACGTCTAAAAAGACTTGTATATACATAATCTTCGCATTACCTCGAAACGCTCCATCGCTTCACTAACTGTTTTCTTAAGTTGACGCGTTGCTCTCAAATGTTTTCTCGTTTGCTCAATCTTATCAGCGTAAGCTAATTCAGCTGCCATACTGAAATTACACGGATATATGCACGAATATTTGGTTGGAAGATAAATTCCGAATATTCACGGCCTGTTCGATCATCTCAGTTCATGTGAATTGACGCAAAACCTTGAAAACAATGCATACTAACTATCACTTTACCTGGACCCTAGCGCTTTAGCTAGCGAGACATCATTAGGTCGTGTTTTAATATTTCGCTGCTTCTGAAACAAATGTACGCCTACAAGATGATTGCTGGTATAAAGTACTCCGCTAGTTTTTAACCTTTATAGCTCCAGAGACAGCAAATGAAGTAACAGTGTTTGACGGGTTGCCAGAAGAGGTCTCTACGTTGCCGTCAAACGAATGGTTATATGATTCTGTTGACCGCTTCGTTTGATCAAAAAGTGAACAGCTCAATGGCAGCGAATGACGTGATCGTACGTCGACTGAAAACGTACAAAACTTGTAAATTTTTAGTTAACCACAAAAATTTTATTATCATCGGTTTGACAAAAATAACCATCATTATTTCTCCTCCATCTGCTTCCCAGCTGACTAACATCGATGGTTTGGCGGGAATCACTGAATGATGGCATGTTTGACGTATTGAGTGACGGAAGGCCAAAGCTTATTGGCTTACTGAAGAAGAAAAAACCAAATATATAGTCACTACAAGCGTTTACAGTTCCATAGGAGCACCACCTTCTAAATTTGAAGAAAATACCGATTAGAAAAGTCTTACCTTAAAACATCATGTAAGTTTTGTATCGCAATGTCTAGCTTGCTTGAAACTCTGTCAAATTCCTCTAGTTGACTCTCAATTCTCCCTTTTATTGAAGCAGTCCGCTCAAAAGATGGATGCATTGGCGATTCCCTCACTGAACAGTATCTTGAATTTGAGGCAACGGTATAGGACAAAAAGCAAAGCTCTCGGCGCTGATCAATCCCTGAGGAATGCGCCATGCATTCAACTTCAAGCATCCTTAGAGATATCGGACCTTAGAGATATATAGAGATTCGCCGTGGCCAATCGATGTATCGATCCAGTGCTACTAACCTCCCAGAAAAGCCTGGTACCAATTTGCCAACGCTAAAAGGATGGAAGGCTTGGTGAGCCACGGGCACAGGGATCGATCCCACGTGTGTCGCACAGCACCTCCGACCACTGGCAACGGTAATAACAGAAAAATTCAACCTACTTTCAATGAGCGAGAACTTCGGTGACTGAAGAGGTGAAGTGAGCTTTAGAGTACTGCTGTATGAATCAGATATAAAACTGAAAAGATCGATGAGTAACTTAATGCGACCGAAAGACAGAAAATGTATGTCTAGCTTACTTCTTGCTCCTTTCCAATGGTCGCATATGCGTCATTGGAGTGAAAAATGCATCATCTGGGCTTGCAAATGTTTCCGGTGTCAAAAAAGTGGAAATTTCTGGAACAAATGAAGTACTAGAAAGATTTCTTGATGTAACTCCCATGACCGACTGTATATTAACCTCGGCATTCATCGAAACTGCCTATTAACCGCGGAATTGGTCGAACAATTCTTTATATTCCTGTTTAGCAAATACGAGGTGTTATTTTATTTCTTTATCTGTACTCAAGCTGACGTTTCGGCGGATTTCGCCTTCCTCAAGGCCTGGAAAGGTCAAGCTGACTGCAATCCACCCTACAAAACACCTCCATAAGCAAACAGGGAAAGTGCTAAACCAAGATTTCATTCACATTGAACACAGGATAGCTTCATCGCATGCTCATCACTTTCTACGAGTTCTCCACTGAATATGTCACATGGAGGCCAAGCGCACAGAGTTCACATGGAATCGTACTGTGCCCAACCCATCAGAATAAAAAGCTTATAAACTGCCCATCCGCATACTTCGCATAGGGGTCTTCGTTTTATAAAGTTCGGGACGATGAAGTGTTTTAAGCAGCAGCTGAGAAAGTGTATTAAATGTCGAGTTAAGACGGTCTTTTGTCCTAGTGATAGCGATTATTTTACAAGTCAGAAGTATCTTGCTGGTACGTCTTGAAGTAACTCCCATGACCGATTGTCTGTTAACCTCGGCATTGCAGAAAAGCTATCCTGTGTTCAGTGTGATTGAAATCTTGGTTTAGCATTTTCTCCGTTTGGTTATGGAGGTGTTTGGCCGGGTAGACTGCAGTCAAATTGACCTTCCCAGGCTCTGAGGAAGGCAAAATCCGCCGAAATGTCAGTTTGTTCTTGAATAAAGAACAAAACAACACTTCGTGTTTGCTAAAGAAGAATATAACGAATTTCTTGATTTAGCTATGTTCTGCTCTAACTTCCTGATTTCCCTCAACAACTAACTCATTACATGCACTTTTAGCTGTTCCGGTTTGAAGTGTCATATATCGAGAAAAGCTGCGAACCTTTTCTCATCATTTATAACCTGATTCATTCAGATCATATTAGAGTTCCAGAAATTAATTAAAATCTAACTTCACTGAGAGTTGCTACCAAGGCCCAACGCATATACAACCACGCGTACTAATCTGAACGTATACGTAGGCGAAAATAACCTGTATTCTTAACTTTAAATGAACAGATCTCATTTCATACTGAGTATAACGCGTTGAAATAAAAACCACTCGAACCGATGGGTTATTCCTAACGATAAAGAATTTTTCTTATCCCACAAAATGAAAAATATGTTTTTTAAGCTCGTGTGCCCTTTTTCGTCAAAGTTCGTATCTTCAGTATTCGAACACTTCCAAAAACGGGATGCCACTAGAAATCGTCTTCAGCACTTCTAACGTCCTAATTTTACGTGGTAGGCCCGCAGAAGAAGGCCTTACCCTTCGCTGTACACTTTGTGGATTGAAATCATTTCACGTCGGGAATTTCCCTCGTCTACGAAGCACATATTATTCCTTAATGTGACACACTTGCCATCTTTGTACCCTTTTCAACGGCAACAATCTACATTGTAAACTCATATTAACAAGTTTCTGTATACTGCAATATGTGCAGAACAATCCTTCTGGTCCTACGCCCGATGCAATATCTTTGACAAATGGAGTACTGATTTGATTTAAAATAAGTAGACCAGAAAGAAAACGAGTTGACACCTGTCTTGCCCGATCGAAGCTCAGTGAAGCAGTGGAAGTCAGGTCACGCCAAACTCGAAGTAACAGCCTTAGTCACCCCACATGTGTTAAAAATTTTAACCTCCTCAAAGTATGAAGATTTTTAAGTTTCATTTGCAACAGAATTTGAAATAAAAGAAACACTTTGGTGGTACTAAAGATACACTCTGGAGTGAAGTACTTTCCACTTTTTTGCAAAATGCCAAAATGCTCTGGCGATTGAAAATATAGGCAATTGTTGTAAAAGTACCACAGATGCGTACGTGTTACAATCGAAGGAAAAGAAGAAAGAAGCATTTCTACGATGTCTTCACGGGAACACCAACCAAATTCTTGAGCCAGTGGACTAGTCGGCTTTTCTGTTGAGGAAATAGCATATCCACCAGAACCTTTGCTTACTGCCACAGCACCATTAATTTCGGGTGGACCACGTTGAAAATTATCGGTAGGTAGACCATCGATGGTGTTCTATAAACAGTTCAATTTACCTCAAAACTCATAAATTCAAGGAGTAATAATGGTGATGAGTTGACCAATACATTCAACGGAAGGAAAACCCACGTGTTCCACATCGTTCCCATTTTCACTTAAAGCTGATGAACCGAGTACACAATTTTCTTTCCCTATTCCTTTGTTAGTCACCTCATAATGGTGCTTCTTCCTCTTCTTCTTCTTCTTGGATTCCACTTTGGGGTCAACATCCGTCTTTAGTAGTGTTTAAAATTCATAGTCGAACAGATAATTTTGCGGAAAAAACCTTACGAATACTAAAAAATACCTCATCCAAGTTTTGCGGCTTGTTTAGGAAATACTCGACAGTCCAAGGCTCATGTATCCGGCTTTTCGATGTGGATTGATTATGTGTGAAGGTCTCGTTGTCTTTGTCTTTCGGCATTAACCCAGCCATGAATTTTGGTGGGCTATGTGCTTAAAAGTATAAATCTCATAGTCGACCAATCATATGCTGGGAAATCTCAAAAATTAATTCAAAGTCGTTCATAAATGGCCCAGAAAACAACGAATATAAAAAACTTGAAAATGTTCAAAAGTGGCCTTAAAACATAACTCTTCAAAAAAAAAATGATGCCAAGCTTATGAAGAATCCGCTCACATTTGGTCCATCGATGTAAACGATCAGCCGCTCTCTGGATGCTTGCATCAGGATCAGAACGATAATGACCTGAGCTCATTTTTTCACGATTACCCTGCGATTGTTTCAACGGTGAAGTGCCTGACTTCATTGCTTGATGACAATATGAATGACAAGATTCCGTTAACAGTGAGAAAAATGACTAACAGTAAAGCTATACTCAATCTCATACCGATAAGAATTACTACTCTTACTTATAAACAATAAGAAAGACTACAAAATAACTCCACCACAGATCAAATTCCAATAAAATTGTAAAATCATCTAAGACATCCTTAAAAAGGTGGTAAGGTAAAAGTATTGAAGAATCAGAAAGATAAGGACTCACCGGCTGAAGATTTGGATGACGAAGGCTTGCAAAGCAAACGATTACGTTGGATACCCTTACGTGAACTGAAACAGGAACTTCGACTAAAATAACGGAGTTAAAGCAAAACGAGAATAGAGTGATATAGTAGGAAAGGAGTTTGCACAATGAAGGGTATAGCTCGAAAGAACTGCGATCAAGTTAGCATTCAGTTGAACTAAAACGGGATTGAACCTATGATGACCCTATTCCACCGAAATAAGTAAGCATCCAAAGTCTCCTAGTACTAAGAAACTTCTATTTAAGTAAACACTGACTACGCAGTGAACACTCGCCTCATGCCACCAAAATCAATCAAAGGAGCGAAGAAAGACGCTAGGAGCCAGAAGGCCAGTCGTGCTGAAGACAATGAGAAGAAGTATCGCCGGAAGGAGTTACTCCGCTATATTTAAGTAGTGTGGAAACATTGTTGAAATTATGCTACTCGTCTCATGTCAGGAACAATTCCACATTAGAAAGAGAAAAATACCACGATCATCGAACTACGGAAAGCCTGTTACTGGCGTACCTTTGCCTAAAATATTGTACATCAGCGGGATATAACACAGATTTTGGTTTCCCCACACTGTCCCACGGATTAAATTCACGATGTGGGGAACGAGAACGATCTGCAAGAGTCTTTTTTAAAGTCATGCTTTTTCAGCGATTCCGGTAATTGTTACAACAACGAAAGATAATACTTGAAACGAACCATTATGTGAGCGAACTCCTGTTGGTACTGCTGTTTGCTGAAATCAAACGTATTTTATTTATGTGTATAATTACTCGAATCCATGAAAACAAGCTCTGACTGAACAGCTAAGGAATAAAAACACTACCACATATGAGCATTAATAAAGAAACAATCTCTATATGACACAAATAAACTTACGTTTCTTTTCATGCCTTGACGATGGTTAGTGAGCTCTTACAACTGCTTGGCTAATTTGGTACTACGACAAACCTTAAAGCATGACCAAATCATTTTGTTCGGAACGTCACCAAAAAGATTACCAGCGTCTTGCCCCTGTGAGAAAATCGTTTCAACGAAAAAGAAAAAAAAGGAAAAATTAAGTCTAGCAGTTACCGGTTGCTAAGGGCAGTGAATACCACGGTTTTGAATATGTAAAAAGTGATTCCTTCGCGCCCGCATATAATCCTCCCGTGATTACGGACAAGCGCAAAGACCGTAATGCAAAATGTTTGTGTATTTGCCTACATAATATCGACAAGTTATCAAAATGGTTGGAAAAGACTGTGAATGAGTTGAGCAGAGTCGCAAAACAACTACAAACTGGAATTTATTTGAATCATTTGTCAGGTTCTAAGAAATGACGTTATGGACGATATCGGTGAAGAATGCTACCGGTCTATCCAAGACCGTCATCTTCGAAAGTGGCCAGAAGACTTCTGTTTCTATGAACATTCGAGCCGATACGCTAACATATTGTACATCGTAGACGCAAAGCAGAAGTGATGGTCGAAGCTGTAGAGATTGAGAAAAGCATTCGCAAAGACCTGCGGAACCTCACCATTTACGAAACCAAGGTGATCACACTCCAGGGCTCAGACGGAACAGTTGCAGTTTCCAGAAGGGAAATGTTGGATGTCATCTAAGAATCGTACTCTGATCATTTTAAGGTGCGCTGAGTATCAATGACCTGGCTTACACAGCTTCAAAGACGGGTAAGCAACTGTTTTCTTGATGAGCGACAAATTCCTCCAAACGCCTTAACACAAAAGCGAGAAACCTAAATTCCAATGGTACTGGAAGCAACTTATTTAAATCCTCACCATCTTCTATAAATGAGGTTCCACTTATTGGTGGAAACCAACCGCACACGGTTTATATGCATTGATAATTTATTAGTTCCACCTTAAAAGAATATTGTGCTTGTGTGAGAGACGGTACGATACGACGCGTGATAACAAAGCACTTCTGCTTGCATTTTGTCTTTGGACTCTTAGAATTCAACGAAAATGTCTGAAAACTTCTACGCGCTGAAGCTTCAGCTTCCTGTACAAGGATAGCAAATTCTATTCTAAAATCTTTTCCGTTATGCTTTTGTCCCCAATTGCTGCCTAATGGAATGTTTAGTTTAGATTTATTCTCACCGTCTTGATGTTCTTTCATATGGACTGACAGTGGTCCTCCCATTTCGCCTATCTATTCGTCGCTGTGAGACGCCCAGTTGAGGGATCCCTCCTGCTCTCTTCCTTTGCCCACATAGTTTACTGTTCGAAACATCTTTCTCGAAAATAACTTCTTTTTGCGTGGCTGATGAGAGGTGAGATAAGTAAGAAGTATGTTCTTATCACTTGGTTTTCCATACCACTTCCCCATACATCTGTTCTCGGACAGGCCATGAGATGCTGAGTCGACGAGCAATCGATGTTTGGTGCTCCTTGGTATTGCATAAACAGTTAGAAAATGACTCAAAAGGTCGACTTTCTACAAACATAATCGATATATCTACATATATATTATATTTTTTTTACATATATTTTTACAAACTGCCTTCGTTGAGATGGTGCGAGGTGCGAGGTTGCTACAAGTTGTTGTTGTTGTTGTTCCTATTATTCGATGGCTGACGTGTCGGCGACTTCGCCTTCTTCAGACCACGGACGTATTTCATGTAAACCTCTCCATATGACTACTACAATGCTGAGATATTTGTAAAACTCAGGACCGCAGGTGTCTGCGGAGGGGAACGAACGCGCTATTGTCCTTACCGGTGAGTAACGCGTTCACCATCACACCAAGCGGGTCCTTCGTTTCGCCTGTCTCTCAGCTGGTTCTATCGATCTTTCGTCATCAGTTGAACTGAACTGAATTGAAAAATACGGCAAATAAAAAAAGTTACGATTGTGATTATAACTATAGCTTCAGCTTAACTGGATTCAATGCCGAACTAGCTGAGAGACAGCCGAAACGAAGGACCCGCATGGTGTGGTGGTGAACGCGTTACTTCCGGAAAGGACAATAGTGCGTTCGTTCCTCACCGCAGACATCTTCGGTCCTGCGTTTTGCAAATATCTCAGTATTGTAGTAGTTATATTTCGCAAAATACCCTGCCGTTAAAAAGAATGGACAGGCAAAATTTTAAAAAGGTTAAGATTGCTCTCCATATGATTTGGTGAATTTTCTGTAGTACTGATGAAGATCTATTATATAAATGAACGCCACTTTCACGACCGATTTTCTATTAACCTCGGCATTGATGAAGTAATTCTTCCTATTCTTGTTGAGCAAACGCGAGGTGTTACTTTTATTCTTTATTCACGAATAAGCTGACGTTTCTGCTGATTTCGATTTCCTCAGAGCCTGGAAAGGCCAAGTTGACAGAAATCTCTTTGGCCAAACACCTCCATAACCAAACAAAGAAAACGCTAAACGAAGATTTCAATCACATTAAACACAGCTTTGCACACTCACCGCTTTCTATGAGGCTTCCACTGAGTATGTCACGTGGAGACCAACCGCAAAGAGTTCACATGGAAGCGTAATGTGCCTCTCACATCAAAACAACAGTCATAAATACTGACTAATATCAAGCGTGATTATGAGGCATTCCTCCCTAGGGTTCATTTTCGTATCCTCGGAATTAATCCAGAGTGCCTCGGGAATTTTGCGCTCTCGTATTTTCCACTCCTGTGCGAGGATCGTCACTTCTACTTCAAAATCTTCCCGGTTATGTCTCTGTGTCCAATGCGTGCCTGGTGGGGTACTTGGCTTAACTTTAAGTTTCAAGTTCTTAAGTTCTCTCAACTAAACGTTGATTTAGGAAAATGTCCCATCTTGTACTTCCTTGTCAGAACTCATAAGTTAGTATCCAGCGATGATCTTGCGTCTACCGATCTATCATTGTTTAAGGTTAGACCTATCACTAGCTTTGTAGACGGGCGAACAGATAGGACAACCTGGTTCTTAACCATCCGGCTGTCCAAGTATCGAAGCTGACGAGGAATTACTACAAACTCTCCGCTTGAGTGATGAAGTTCTCCGACGTTACCTCCCTTTATACAAACTTGTCGAATGACTCCGCTATGCAAACCTTCCTCAAACTCCTTATACAACACGAAGGAGCAAAAAACATCCATGGCTTCACGATAGAGCAGTTGATAGAACTCTTAAAAGAGTGCCTGTGCTGCTCAATCTTCATATGATCCGAAAAGTACTACGCTCAAATAAGAGGTTTGACAATGGGACAGCGACTGGCACCAAGCCTTGCCATTGCGTTCGTGTCTAACGGGGGAGACCAGTAACCGATCTCCGGCCGTTACTCTACTGTAGATATATAGATGACTGCTTTATCCTTTGCTCAACACAGGAGGAAATGGACAAATGTTTCGAGTTGTTGAACGAATAGTTAGTGTGTATTAAGTGCACCCGAGAGAAACAAAAAGAAAACTGGCTTCCATTCTTGAACATCCAAACCAATAACCTGTCCGAAAACTGCTAGATTACGAAGTGGTACCGAAAACCAAGTAGTAAAAACATCCTCGTTTACTTAACATTACCTCTCCTCTCACCCCTCTCACACGAAAAGGGCGCTTGTAAGAAACATGTTTCTAACAGCAACCAGTGTGTGCACAGGAAGAGAGCAGGAAAAGGAATCCCAGAAACTGGCGCGGTAAATAAACATTTCCAATGGCTACGAAACTGTAGCTTCTCAGGAAAGGTGTAAAGGAAAGCAGCCCAAACCCCCAAACGATAACTCTAGCGATGATAAGGTCTCGTTTATCTTGACCTTCATCTTAAATGAACTAAGTGCAGCTATAACACACTGCTTAAGAGGAGCTGATCTAGAGAATTCGGTAAAAATAATCGAAATACCACCGAGCACTCAAAGAAACTAACTAGTTTGCAACTGCCTACGTGACCGTCTATGTACAACGAAAAATTGCATAAATTGCCCCAACGTTAGAGACGATGATTGCATGAGCTCGGGTGTAATTTGTCTGATCTCTTGTAAAGCGTGCGGAGACGAATATATTGGCGAAACGGGTAGGCCCCTCTGTGTGCTTATAAAAGAACACTTAGTCCGTAAACCTGAAGTTAAACCAAGTATCCCACTAGGCACGGATAGAGCACAGAGACATAACGGGGAATATTTTGAAGTAGAAGTGACGATCCTCGCACAGGAGTTGAAAACACGAGCGCGCAAAATTTTCGAGTATTGTGGATTAATTCCAAGGATCCGAGTATGAACCCTAGAGAGGAATACCTCATAATCACGCGTGTTATTGGGCAGTATTTAAGACTGTTGTTTTGATGTGAGAGGCACATTACGCTTCCATGTAAACTTTGTGCGGTTGGTCCCCACGTGACATATTCAGTGGCAGACTCATAGAAAGCGGTGAGCATGCGATGAAGCTATTCTGTGTCCATGATTGAAATCTTGGTTTAGCATTTTCTGTGTTTGGTTATGGAAGTGTTTGGCTGTATAGATTGCGGTCAACTTGACCTTTCCAGGCTCTGAGGAAGGCGAAATGCGCCGGAGCGTCAGCTTGTTCTTGAATAAAGAATAGAACAACATCTCGCGTTTACTCAATAAAGAATTATTTGATCATTGCCGGGGTTAATAGAAAGTCGGTCGTTGGGATGAACCGGAATGTTTTATCGCATGGTTTTCGATACCAGTTCGTATTGTAAGCGCTTCCGGACCGGTCAGATTGAATGTTCAAAATCGGAAGCCAGTCTTTCTTCGGGTTTTGCTGGATATTCTCAAAACACTGGCTTAGCAATTCAAAATACTTGCCCATTTCCTGTGTTGAGCAGATAACAAAACATTCGTCGCTAAATCTACACTAGAGTAGTGGCAGAAGACCTAATGCGAGGGCTTCAAGATCCAGAATGGGGAATGAGGCATCCATCTAGGATCTGTGGTGTAACATGCAGATTCTGTAGTTAATGGAAGAATCAGAGCATCACCAACATAAATGGATCGAAGACTTTGCTCTATCGTTCTATGGATGATATTTGTAGTGTTATCTACAATATGTTATAATGTTCCATCATACAAACAAATTACTACCAGGATTTGGAAGTTTTGGCGACTGATGGGTCTCTATTTCATCATTTTCTTATAACCTCATGCTGTATATAATAACTTATCACTCACTATAAAAGGATAAAGGATAAAGCTCTTGGCGTTGATCAATCCCTGAGAAATACGCCATGTATTCGACTTCATTAAGCATTGTTTGGTGATTTAATGTATACCTAGCCTTTACAATGATTCGCAGTGGCCTATCGATGTGTTGAGCCAGTGCTGCTATCCTCCATACAAGTCTCGCACCAATTTGCCTACCCCTGAAGGATGGAAGTCTTGGTGAGCCTGTAGCGCGGGGATGGATCCCATGTGTATTGCAGGGCGCCTCCAA